ATTAAAAAAAATGTTTTTTTAAAACACCACTTCAATTTTTCTTTCGTGATTTTTCTACAAGTATCTATACATCCAACAGGATAGCTAAAAAATATGCTGCTAGTGTTGTATTATTTCGCGAATTCTATTTTTGGAAATTGGAAAATGCGAACATTGCAAAAGCACAATTTTAAGAATAAGGATTTCTTTTTAAATATCTGTTCTAAGAAAACAGATCTTCAAAAATGTGCCAGCTTTTCTTAAAGAAAAAGAGTGCGTTTAATTAATTCTGCTTGAAATAATGTAATTGACAAGAAATTTGTTTTCTAAAAGGCTCTAAATTGTTTGCCAGACAGATAGAACCAAAGCACCCGCTTAAATTAGGCGCAGGTTCATTTGTCGTTTAAACTCTTCCGAGTTTTCGAAAACTACAAAAGTTTAGAAATAATTGCGAAACAAATGTGTGTTTATAGCATCATTAATCATATACCAGCTTACAAACAGACGTTTTCCTTTCGAAAAATCGTATATTTTCCGCAGTACGGATGGAATACTTTATCTTCTTACAAAGTAGGCCAGAGTTATTAAATTGGTAATATTGGAAAAAATAAATCGTCCGGTTAACTCTAGGCAACTCGAAGAATGACATCTAGACTTTGCTGCACAATGCTAAAGAGAGTTAGTCATTAATTAAAAGCATATTATGAATTTAAAGAAACATACTTTATCTCAAAGTATTATGGAAGCCGATATGGATGTCGCCTAAAAATGCAAACCTATGTAATGTCGAAAATTGAGAGTAAACACTGAAAATCAATCTAAACAAAAGTTTCCTATGGTATTTCTTTATCTACCAATAAATTAAAGAAAAAACATTGGATCATTTTGGAGAAAAAATTGAAAAACTGTACCTTGGACTTCAGTAAAACTTCCCTCAAAATTATATAACATTCTTTTAAAAATCACAGAACTTCGCATTCTGGCCAGATCACTGTGAACCGGAAAAAATCCTACGAATAGTCTGCGCAATAGTGTTCCGCAGACGACGTCTATGAAAAGAAGAAAATCAAAACGTTTTCTGTTATCAGCGACCTCAAAACGCTGTATTGTATTTCCTTGAAATCTTCGAAATCATTTTCGCTAGCAATTTTCTTCACACACGCGTGTTTACTTAATTCTTATCCTTTTTTAGGCAGTATTGCGGTCTGCTAGTAACCAGAGGCGCATCTTTTCTCGAAGAGGGGGGGGTACAGCTAGAGTGTCGCCGACGATTGAGTTTTTGATTCTAACAGAATTTTTCATTTCTAATGAACATAAATATATTTTTATTTTGTTGTTTTAAAGTTAATATCATAACGCAAAATAGTTGATAATATGAATCCTTTAGTATAGACAATAATTAAGTAAAGTGTTTAATAATATATTCTGGGGAGCTGTAATTGACTTCATGGAAAAATGGGGCTGCTTCCCGATGATCCCCCATCCCCTCTAAGTGGCGCCAACTGACCTCTACACAAAACCCCCAAAAAGCTCCCCCGGTTCTGAGAAGAGTTAAGAGTGCTTCCGAGGGTATTAACGCGGAGCATCGATTTCCCACCCAGTTGTTGCCCAGATGAAAAAGGGCGGTTGGCGGTGGCGGACGCATCGTGTACGCGCGATTAACATTGTCCGAGCAAGCAGGAAATGAAAGTAATTCGAAACAGTTTAAGTGAACGTCATCGCTGCACACAAGAGAAAGCCACGAATCAACTACACCTTCAGCTATGTTCGCTCTCTGTATTTCGACTTCTGTTAAAACGACCAGAGAACGCCATAGGCGCAGGCGGCGTAGCCTGAACGAGCTCCTTTACCTCCCCCTTGTCCTTCTCCACCCCTTGCTTCCGTACAAGGGAAGGTATTGTTGATCATGTATGTATAATACTATAATAATATATTATATATTATATATCAATA